AGAGCAGCATGTGCTGCGGCTGGCGGGTCACGTGGCGCCGGGCTCAGTACATCACGGCTCTCTGTACCCCAGCCTGGCCGGGGCGGTGACTGTTCATGTCACTTGGTCCACACGCTGGCAGACTGCCGGCACCGTGCTCTCGGCACCCTGGTGTGCCAGGGGAGGACGCCAATCCACAGCAACGCAGAGGTCAGTAAACCAAGGCCAAGAGGCCACGGCCAAGGAACACGATGCACTGGGAGAGCCTGGGTTTCTCGGGGCGGAGGCGGGCTCTCACGCTCCTGACACCAAGGACTGCACTTGGCCACGAAGAGCTTCTCTTTCTCACTTCTCAGTGAACAATGATTTCAGGGATATTTCAAGAATGTCACCTGGGACCCAGTTTCGGTTCCACTGTCCTTACGGTCACAAAATGGCTGCTCTGCCTAGACATCACATCTGTGTTCCAGGCAGGAGGAAGAGGGGGCAAGGTAAAAGGCATGGCTAGCTGAGTCTGTTTCTTTATACCCAGAAAAGGAAAAACAAAACAAAACAGAAATGCCAGCCTTCTGGATGCCTGAGCTAGTCGGCTACTCTAATTAGACACTGTTGCCCAGGAAGAGGCCACGCTGCTCCACTGGCGGAAGGGCAGCAGCCTGCGTTAAGCAGCGCGTGCGGCCGGCGTGGGCAGCTAAGCCACGCAGGTAGAAGGACGAGGGGGCGGGCCTCGGTGCAGCCTCTGGTGACTCGGAGCACCGAGGCCAGCTCACGGCTAGGTCATTCCTCGGACCTGCCCAGGGTGGCACTGCCCGCTCGTCCACTGCTGCTCTGACTAATCCCGCTGGCTGCTCCCGGCAGGGCTGGTGTCCCAGGGAAGCCTCCCGCTCTGGGAAGGATGTCCTCCTCCTCGCACAGACGGCGGCACACTTCTGGCACACCCACTCCTGCCCTGGACCTGCCTCAGTCACCTCTCCCTCCCTGAGGCCCACAGCTCACTGCCTGTCTGCTCCGCTCCCGGCTGCCGGGAGCTGGGGGACACTGACTGGCCTGGCGTCTGTCTGCTCAGCACCCCTCCTTCTTCCTGCCTGAGACAGAATCCCGCACCATTCAGAGGAGCAGCTGCTCCACCGCCAGGTGATGGGTCATGGCGGGTCCAAGCTGAGCAGGACAGTGCACCTCGGCTTCCAGCTCCCCCAGCTGCTCGGCTAGGAGTGGCACGTGGCCTATTTCCCACCAGTGAGAACTGCAGAGATTCTGAGATACGCTTTCCTGATATGGGGAAGAGGTGCAGGGGGTGCTCCTGTTACCTCCCTTGCCCTGCTCCACGCTCGGGTGTGATGCCTGGAGCCACAGCAGCCAGCTTGTAATGAGGAGGCAATAGACTGATAAACTAAAGATGGCAGGACAGGAGACGAAGAGAGGGCACGTGGCGGCCCTCCATCTCTCTCGGCGCGCATCGTTACGTAAAATGGACCCCTTGTTATTGGAGGCCCATTGCCTGGGTTTTACTCTGTTGCTTGAGAATATTCTGAAATGACACGAATGGAAGACAACAGGGCCCCTGTCCTCGTGAGCCGTGAGCGCCGGCCGGCTCGACAGTAACACTCTGAGGAGGAAGTGGCGTGTGGCACGAGGGACCCCAAGACGGCCCTGAGCTGACGGGCGATGAGGAGGCTTCTCGGAAGAACTCTCACTGGAGGCACTCCCCGGAAACCAGCTCCTCTTCCCACAGCGCTGAGCCCACTTCCCGACCCGTCCAGACCTCGCCTCCTCCTGCGTCCCAGCAAGGTCACTCCGACTCACCTGACTCCCTTTTCTCTAAGCCTGACGGAGCCACAGCCCCGTCCTCAGTCCCCACGTGGCCTGTACCTCCCCGCCCTACGACTCCGTGTGACGCTCAGGGTCAGCACGCCGGGCTGCAGTGCTAGGCGGGCAGCCATTAGCTGTTAACAGAGCGGGGAGGGACGCCGGCCCAGGCCTGGCTAAACTATGCTAGCGGGGTTCCATCGTGGCCTAAGGACATGACCTGCCCCTCCTACTTCAGCCATCGCCAGGCTCCAGTGCTCGCGGCCACAAGCAAATTACCCAGAAACAAGTCGGAGGCCTGAGAGCACGCGCAATTATACCGGGATGCTCCCCGGTGACCGCCCAGATGGGAGCCTCAGGCCAGGGACCCAGGAACGCGGCGGACCGGCCAGACGCACGGCGCGCCGCGAAGGCTCACGACTCGCACTTGCTACCCTATTGGGGAAAACTATTTTCAGCCTAATTAGCATGAAATTTTTAGAATGCAAATGATTTTCATTTAGACATAAAACAAAATGCCACGACATTTCTTCCACCCATTTATCATAAACAAGTTAATTACTGTGTAACGAATCGCTCCTGCTGGAGTGTGTTCTGGCTGCTGGTGGCGGAGCAGGAGCGGCCGGGCGGGGGCAGGGCTGGGCCGGCGCTGGCCAAGCCCGGCGACTGGGCGAGGCCCTAGCTGCCTGGTGATGGTGACAACGCAGCTCTCTGCTGGTCAGCTCGGTTGGGCACAGCCGGCACCCCTCTGCCTTGGTCCCTACAGGAGGCACGAGGCGACTCGGCCTCCACCTGGGAAGTGTGTCCTGGCCAGGGCCACGGCAGCCCTGGCTCTGCCTGTCTGTGCGAACTGCTCCCAGGGTGTAAGGTTTCTGCTCTGAGACCGCACGCCTCCAGGGGGTCCAATGAAAGCAGCCGCAGGACTCACCACATGACTCCAGTCGCCCCGGGGGTGGCCGGGCCCTAAACCGATGTCGCTCTGCAATTCCCCCAACCCGGGCTTGGGCGCCCTAAGTGCTGCCTAGAAATGAGTTAAGGACCCACAGCACGGAGAGCCGGTCACGTGAGCATCGCGCCCCTCGCGCCCCTCATAAGCCCCACCTGGGCGTGGGGCAGGCTTTCCCACTGCACCCACCAGAGAGAGGCTGTGAAGCCCGGACCTGCAGCACCGGCGCCGCCCGGACAGAGGAGAGATGTTGCTCGGATCCCACATCGCATGGTACCACGTCCGGGAGCCTGTCATTGTCCTCCGCGGAAGGTGGTACTTGTCACTGCCGAAAGACAGGTGCTAAGTCCCCAAGCACGATGGTGCCCCAAGGCCTTCGCCTGCCAGCCACATCCGTGGGGGGCGTCAGGAGGCCAGCGTCAGCTCAGTCTAGGAGTTCGGGATACACAAAGGGCAGGACATGGTCAGTGTCCCCTGGGTGACCTGGACAGTGAAAGGGTACCAACTGTGGGAACCAGCAGTTAGCGTAATGGCTATGTCGCTGGACTCCCACGTGGTCGACCGCGGTTCGTGTCCCGGACCCGGTGGCTTAAAACTCATGCCGGGTGCGTGGGCGTGCGTGCCCAAGATCCCGAGAGGAGAATGGAGGAGAAAGGATTGCGGCGTGACCATCCCCCCTGGGGGGTGATTTCTCGCTTTCTGTCTCTATGTCTCTCTCTGTCTGTCTGGCGAGCGCACGCGCCCTACAGTGAAAATCTCTCAAAAAAAAAAAAAAAAAGGGCACCAACTGTGAGGTCCCCCAGGCCATCCAGCGGGCCCACGAGAGCTCCTGGTCAACCTGAGGTCACAAAGGATGGCCTGGCCTTCCAGACCCCAGAACGACCAACTCCGAGTCCAGCCATCCCCAAACCTGGGCCATGCACGCCTGCTTCTGGCCCTCCAAACCTGGGCCACGCATGCCCGCTTCCGGCCTCTCCAAACCTGGGCCATGCACGCTTGCCCAGCCCTCCCCAAACCTGGGCCGCGCACGCCCGCTTCCGGCCTCTCCAAACCTGGGCCACACATGCCTGCTCAGCCCTCCCCAAACCTGGGCCGCGCATGCCCGCTTCCGGCCCTCCCCAAACCTGGGCCCAGCATCTGGGCCGCGCATGCCCGCTTCCGGCCTCTCTAAACCTGGGCCACGCACGCTTGCCCAGCCCTCCCCAACCTGGGTCACGCATGCCCGCTTCCGGCCTCTCCAAACCTGGGCCACACCACATGGCCCTTCCACTTCCAGGTCAGCTGCCTGGAGGGTCTGGGTTTTGGTGATCGGTGGGAGTTAGTAGCTTTACAATTTACACAGCAAAAAATACGTCAGGAAAGTTGGATTCAGGCAAAACCAAACTCCTGGTTCACATAACGAGGAATGAGACAGTCGACCAGCCCAGTCTCCAACGGTGAGGCTCTGCAAAGCCGCCTCGCTGCACGTGCACACACAGGGACTGCTGGCAGTCGTAGGGAACGTCTACACCCCGAAAATACACAGCGGGGAGCCTGCCTCCTGTGGATGACCCCGCTGGGAACGTGCACATTCAGCTCTGACCAGGGCGGCCACTTCCCAGCACCTGGCACGGAGAGCAGGCTCCTAAGGAGTTCTCGGCCCGTGGCTGAACCTCGGGAATGAAGGGTTGATGTCCCCCCCCCCCCACGCAAATATAAGGTTTAATTAGTTTGTCTTGAAAGGGAAACAGATCAATAGGCAGCATGATCCATTGTCATCTGAGACCTGACGCGGATGGCCCATCACATGCGCTGTAATCCTGCAATTCGGAGCCGCTAACCGGGAGCCCCTGCGTGTGCCGTGCTGTCGGTGGGGCAGTAACAGAAACGAGTGCCACGTTTGTGAACAGAACGTCTGTGGGCTTATTTACCGCACCCCAACAACAGCGTCTGCCTTATCACGCATTTCAAAGCAGGGATAATTTAGGAATTCAGAATCCCATACATAAAAAGACTTGGTAAGAAAGTCTCTCTGCACATTATTTGGGTGATGTTACATCCAAATTCCAACTTATTGCCAAGGAAATGATCTCCCTCACTCAAAAGTGACAGGGACTCTGAGCCATCCGCCTGATACAGAGCCCCTTCAGGTCGGCCGCGTGCACCTCGCGAACCTCACCACCACCGTTTCGCAGACAGAGCTCCAAGACCAGCGAGGCCTTGCTTTCATGAAAACGTGTCCCTGCAGAACAGGGCTGTAGCCCCATTTCCCATTCCAGCCTGGCCCTACCTTTCAGTAGCTTCTCTCCTTCCAGAATATTCTGGGAGATTAATGCTGTGTAATCTTCTTCCGAGAAGCCAGTCTTGCAGGTCTCTCTGGCTGTAAGATCCTCATTATGGGCCTAAAAACAGGAAGAGAGAAGGTTAAAACAAAAATAAGCTTGCAGAAACGTAACCCAGCCATCTCCAAGGGCTCGGGTGCACAGGGTCTGGGCCCAACCGTGGTCCCCACCCAGCCTGAGACCCTCTGATGCACTGGGGCCCTGGTGAGCACTGGGCTACCTGGGAGCATCTCCCTGCTCAGCCCTAGAGTGGACATGGGCAGGGGACCTGTTGGGGCCCTGCTGTCACCCAGCGGCCAGGGATGTCCCAGGAATGTCTCAGGGACAGCCCTGAAGCAGAAGAGGGAGCAGAGAGGAGGGGGGCAGGAGAGATTTTCCAGGGCTCCTGGAGATGCCTGCTCTGCAGGAGGCTGGCGAGGAGGGCGGTGGGTGGAGGTGGCCCTCCCCTGGTCCTCTCCCTTGGCTCCCCTGTACACGCATTCCCCAGAGCCCCCGTTCGTTACACCCAGCCAGAAAGGGTGGGTATCCTCCAGTCTAGGGTGCTCCCTGGCTGGCCTTTCCTGCAGGGAGGGCAGGAGAGGTGGGCGGGTGCGGGGCTCCTCCCAAGCTGCAGGGAGTGGGTGCGACAGGTCAGGCCAGCGGGCGCAGGCGGGGAGGGGTGGCAGAAGGAGGAGCAGCGTGTGCCACAGAGCAGCCAGCCTGGCCACGGAGGAGCACAGCTGCACCCTGACTAGCAGGAGCCCCAGGCGCAGCCCGCACCAGGCAGTCGCGTCTTCTCGAGGCGCCGAAGCAGAACGAGCCTCCCACAGCCACTGCCTTCAGCGCCGGCTTCTGCCCCACTAAGGCTCTGCGCTCCCTGTCACCCGCCCGGATGGGGCGATCCTCCAGCCCAAGCACTGGGGGCGGGGGGGGGGGGGGG